GTGTGTGTGTGTGTGTGTGTGTGTGTGTGTGTGTGTGTGAGTGTGTGCGTCTATGCGTGTCTATTTTATATGTGTGTGTGTGTGTGTTGCTGTCTTTGATTTGAGCCAGGGAGAGTTACGGTGCCGATGACTGCCAATAAGGCGGAGAGAGGTGGTGTGGTGATGGGGCTGGACAACGAGTCGCTTTATCAAAATCCGGATAATATGTTAGTGCATCTCTTCGTCAAATAAATATGATATGAACCGCTCCGTCAAATGGGTTAGAACCACATCGACGAACGGGTTAGGCTAGCTTCACTTCATTCAACAAGTGGGTGCACCCACTTCGGCAAACGGCTCAGGAAGGAGAGTTAGGAGTCTGAATTCGGATAATGTTTCATTGAGAATTGTCCGGTTATCCTTATAGTATAGTTTATCCGGATTTTACCAACCTCTAGTGGAAGTCGCGACGGCTCGGCCAGAGACCCTGTATGTGGTGACACCAACGACCCGCGTCTCTCTCTGCGCGCGCTTCACAGCCCAAACCGGGGACAGACAGACAGACAGACGGACGCATACAGCACGCAGAAGGAGAGAAGGAGAGAGAAGGAGAGAGAGAGAGAGAGAGAGAGAAGCAAACGCCAGAAAGCGATCGCACCTGGGTTGGTTTATCCCGTGCACACAAAAAGTTGGTTCATTCTTTCCCACAAGGTTTTGGGCCACGGATTATTGCAGCAGAAAGTGTGTCCGTCTGTGTGCTTCCAAGACGCCCGTGTGATATTTTTCGGTGTGAGGAAGGAAGGAGGGAAGGAAGGACGGACGGACGGACGGACGGAAAGAAGGAGGGAGTGAGAGAGTGGGTGAGTGAGTGAGTGAGAGAGGAGGGAGGGAGGGAATGCGACGCGTGGATTTCATTTCTTCAGTGTGATAGTTACAGTGTGGTGATGACATTCTGATTGTGTAGATAGATAGATAGATAGACAGATAGATAGATAGATAGATAGATAGATAGATAGATAGATAGATAGATAGATAGATAAAGAGAGAAAGGGATAGACAGATAGACAGAGATACAGATAGAGAGAGTGAAAGTTAGTAAGAGAGAAACAGTAACAGAGGAAGAGACAGAAAGAGAGAAAACGAGATAGATAGATAGCTATGTAGAGAGATAGAGAGATAGACAAAGAGAGAGAGAAAGTGAAAGTTACTAAGAGAGGAACAGAGAGAGACGGAAAATAGGTAGATCTAGATAGATAGAAAGGTAGATAGATAGAGGAGAGAGGGAGAGAGAGAGAGAGAGAGAGAGAGAGAGAGAGAGAGAGAGAGAGAGAACGATGATGGTGATCATGCATGTATGAGCTTACTTCACTTCATATGTACAGATGCACAATCGAGTTTCGCCTTTAAAAAATCCAATTTCGATGTATTCCAGGAGATGATCATTCATTTGATTTCTTTGAGTGTGTGTTGATGATTTTGGATGTGAAGATAGGTGAGTGAAATTCTTGTGATCCGCCAGGATTGGCGTCGTTTATTTCTGTGGAATTTATCGTCAGAAATTGAAAAAAATTAAACAGCCAAAACCCTGCCAAACAAAATGTCTCCCCATCCGTACCCATCTATGGCTGACCTACGTGTCGTGGTACTTTTCGTTTCGGCGCTGCTGTGTGCCTATTCTGCATCGGCGGACGACGAAACGAAACGATTGTGGAACTGCCACGACAAAGGGATTAACGACAGAACCGACATGGCCATGGTTGTCGTGTCGGGCACCGTCAAGAAACTCATGTCGGACGAGCTCCACTCCACCAACGAAATCCGCATGTTTCGGGGAGAGGTGGAGATCAAACGAATCTTCAAAGGCGGCCAGGTGGTGGATACCTTGGCAACCATAACGCCTGGTCTGCTCCGTCAGCACAAGATGGTGATGGTGGAGGGGTTCGGCGACCCAGAGATCTGCGACAATGTGGTCAAGGAGAGGGATACCAAGATCTTCATGCTCAGCCCGAACGGCAACGGCGAGCTGAAGCTCAACTCTTCCGTCGTGCCTCTCACGCTGCACAATTTGGACTACGTGGATTCTGTCGTGAATCGTGAGTACCCTACTTTAACCTGTACTGTACGTTTTGTAGTTTCGTTCGTTAAAGTTCAAAGCTGAACGCCAGAACCCCTCAGTTGCCAGGTAATCGTTAAGGGGGAACTAAGCGTGAGACTGGCAGAAAATCCAAAATCATGCAAAGAATGGCGCTTCTTCAGCAGTTCTCCCCCCCC